GCCCAAGAGCCCGAGAGGAGAATGGAGGAGAAGGGATTGTGGCATGACCATTCCCCCTGGGGGGTGATTTCTCACTTTCTGTCTCTCTCTGTCTGTCTGGCGAGCACACGCACCCTATAGCAAAAACCTCTCCAAAAAATCCCAAAAAACCTGAAAATAATTATCAATGTTTTATGCATATAAATTATTTTAACAAAGATTTTCTTAATAAATTATTATTTTAATTCTTTAAGCCTATGTATTAGAATGAGGTTGGGTCATGAAAGTAGTGTGATACTTATGAAATAAAACATGAGGCTACTTGAACCTGCTTGACCTTAGCCCTGTCACTATGTGGCTCTAGTTGCCAGCTGAAAATAATTATCAATGTTTTATGCATATAAATTATTTTAACAAAGATTTTCTTAATAAATTATTATTTTAATTCTTTAAGCCTATGTATTAGAATGAGGTTGGGTCATGAAAGTAGTGTGATACTTATGAAATAAAACATGAGGCTACTTGAACCTGCTTGACCTTAGCCCTGTCACTATGTGGCTCTAGTTGCCAGGTCAGAATATTGTCCTTGGGAGCAAACAATTAAGGAAATGCATATTTACAAGGAAGGACCAAAAGTTGGGTGCATTCCACTGACAGTCCTTTTTATGAAGGCTATTTATGACCTACAGCCTGATGTTTTAAAATATGTACACGTTGTTGAATGACCAAGTTAAGCTAGGTAACATATGTTTTGCCTCCCATACTTAAGGATTTTTGTACTGACAACACTTAAAATCTACTCTCTTAGCAGTTTTCGAGAAGTTTGATCCATGAGATATCACTTTGCACCTGTTAAAACGACCATCATCAACACGATGCAAGATAGGGGTCAGCACGTGACTTAGTGGTTAAGGTGCTGAACTTTGAAATGGTCTGCTGAGGTTTGAATCCTGGACCTGGTGTCTTGAAAATCATTCCAGACACATGTGCATGCCTGACCAAAAACCTGGGAGGAGAAAGGAGGAAAAGAGATTACGACATAGCCATTCCCCCAGAGGAATGATTTCTCACTTTTCCCTCTCACTGTCTCTCTCCATCTCTCTCCTCTCTGGTGAGCGCATGTGCTCCATGGCAAAAACCTTTAAAAAAATGAAACTTAACAAATATGGG